GGCATGCATCAAGACATGTAACAGTCAAGACACTATGTCTGCGACATGACACAAAGAAAGGTGCACAGTTGAAACGAATGAGATTATGAAAACCGCCGCACACCGGTCTTGAGTCATGATGCTGAAGAATCATGAATGAAGTAAGACTGCGTCTTTTGTCTCATGTCTTGATGCTTGCCTTGACGCAGTTGGTGTGCGGCGGCCCTAAAGCTTCTTTTCCACAAGAATTTGTGGCGAGAGAAATATTGCTTTAAATGAAGCGGTTTCCAGACGACCAGACGATGACCAATGGTTAGCCAAACCATCAACTCTCGTGGAAAAGAAGCCTAACGCATTCTTCCTCAGTCCTTAAAACGTGATTCGAAACGGAAAGAGTAAGCCAACGCGTATTATAACTTTTCCTACCTAATTCATACCTAATCTTTATACTATACACCACCGCTTTCACAAAGGACGCAGCGAGTTGGATGGCGTAGCAGTAACGTTCTAGACTTCTATTCTGGAGGAATTCCATTCGAATTCTGGCCGGGATACCAACTATAGCGACAAATATTTGTTGACTTCCAGCAGCCCCTCCAGGGATATTCCGGGGGTAGTTCCCCGATCAGACTTTGTTGCAAATTCTTCCCAATTTATTACTCACCTTTCGTCTTTCTCATTCGACAACACACAGTATCGGATACAACGTTGCAGATTAACACATACGAACGCACTGATAACCGAGTCAGAGCGATATAAACAATACATCTGTAGCGGGGGAAATGCTCCTGGAGTACCGCTGCGATAGCCGGCACTTCAGGGACCAAAGATTTCCGGATATTATACCGTTATACCTAGTGCGTATCTGAGTGGACGAAGCGACCTCGTGGACAGACCTAACCATTTAATCTGTCACTGTCGTCCCCGCCGCCATTTTCCTCACCGCTTACATAACATGATGCAAAACAGGTAAAGCTGTCCCTGCGCTTAATTAAGCGCCATGCCATGAAGACGTACGGGGGAGTGGAGGTATAGCTCCATCATTCTTGACCTCGACACTAGATGAAAGTGAGTGGTCAGCTTCATGCTCCGGCCGATTTACCCAATAGGATAAAGGCCCCAGTATCCATTGGACAGGAGGCTGCGTGGGCCCCACAGCCGGTCGGAACAGTGTGAGAAGAAAAATCTTTTGCCCCTGCCGGAAATTGAAACCTGGCCATCTAACCCGTCGCCATACCGACAGAACTATCTCAGCTCATGAACACGGTGTGTATATATAAATAAAAGTAAAGGTATCCTTGCAACACGCCATGGAGTCCGATAGGGTTGTGAGACTTTTAGGCTCCCACATTATCTAGACAACCGGCTCAAAGATGGCGGTAAGGTTGTCAGTCTTATATGCCGGTCGCCCTTTACCTCCCAGGAGAATTCCTGGTACTCATTTCTGTTAGAGGCTGAGCCGACCCCAGGGCAATAGTGCGCCTGGAAGGATTAAATCAATTGGAAAAATCCACCTCAACGGGACTTGAACCCGCGACCTTCCGGCTTGTAGTATAGTGCCTCAACAACTACGCTACCGCGTGCCTCGTGTGCATGTATATATATATATACACACATACACACAATGTAGATACACTATACATATACACATAATCTAGAAAACAGAATACCAATATTTCACTCTTTTTAACATCATAATTAGTCAAATTCTGGTTAACAGGGCTTTCCAGTCGTTCAATATCGGATACAGCGTCTTGAACCGAGTGCAACAGAAAATAATTACCGTTTTTTTATTATTTTATTAGTTAGACTGAAGATTTATATTGTATCAACTGCTTAATGTGTTGGCAGTCGTGGCCAACAAATGCACATCAGTCGACTATGAATATTACAATGAGTCAACGAGTGCAACTGAACCGATAGGTTGATCCGCGTCGTCGAAATTATAGAGCAGTACGCGTGAAGATCCGAATGTAGGTCGAGCGATAGTTGTAGCGGTCTTGATGGTGTAACTTTCACTGTGCTGTATCACACCTGATGAATCTTTTCCGGTACAAACACTACTCCAGACATTTCACATGGCTTCAAGGAATATATCTTTATGTGAAAGTGAATTCGTAAACCCACCCTGATGCATAAGTATCGTACTATGACGACATAAGGAGGGTTTCTTTACAGGTTCGGAAGTAGACTGCATGCAACGACTAAGAATTATTATAAAAGAAGCCCTGCACAATGGTAACTATGAAGATTTCTGTCGCCTGTGACGTCATGCAGAACATTCTCAAAACGTTCATAATAATCTACCAGATTAAACGCCGCCTATTCCTGGAAAGCAGTAGTCTTCATAACCTTAGCGATATATAATTAGTACAAATTCCTGTACACCAAATGTAACGGTTATACTTCCGACTCGGTTCCAAGATCTTCGTTCGTCATAAAGGGAGGTAACATTTTGAGGTTAGGATTAATTTGTTAAGACTACTTACCATCCCTGAGGCAACGAATAAACTTATGAGACCACTGTGTTGTCTGTGTGTGGGTTGAACCTACTGACCTTACATGATATTTGGTATGAACCTTATGCCACTAGGGGTTGTCAACCAAACCACGTATTATTTACCTGCAACCGGTAATAAAACATGGCCGGCGCGCGAACTTGTGAAGAGTGCCGACATTATCTCCACGTAATTTAGGGTCTTGAACTTGAAATTGTGCATTGTATCCAACTTCTGTTACGGTATTCCTTCGTATAATGTAAACCGACAAAATGGCGACTGCAAGAACAGTATAATTATCCTCCATTTTCATAGCGATAGCCAACGAACCATTAGAGCTAGACATCTGAAAAATGATATGCAGTAATACTTACATAGTCTTCATGAAATATTATTTATAAGTCAACGATTACAAAGATGGCAACGACGCGAAACTGCAATTATGTCCCATAATTTTGATGTATACCAAACGTCTACTTAAGTATAACGTTATTTTGAAAAATAACTATAACTATAAATAAACTAACAAACAAACAAAAACATTAAGTTTACTAGTATTTCTGGCTATGACTTTTTGTGAATAAGGTCAGTATAATAACCCATAGGCTAAATTTCATTGTTGCTGGGCTACAAATTTCTGCTTCATCTTCTTCTACAGTTCAAGGGCCTGTCCCGACTTCTATGAATTCACCTTCCGTGCAGTTTACCGGTATCTCTGCTTCCTTTGGGCACGTACTTGGCACTCATCATTCTTCCGCCTTTCTGCATCTTCAAACCAATCCCGTCTGTATCTTCTTCTTCTCTCATTCACTGAGAACACTCCCAATTCTATCCTTACATTTTGTTACCAACACCGTCAGGCTGATTTCTTTGAAGATTGTAAATAAGAAACGTTTTCTGTGGGAGGGCTACCAATCCTTCGTACCACCTCTGAACCTGGAGTGGTTCAGAATTTTCTGTCAGGGTTTGCTCCCTTGGGTGGGTTGGCTTTATCATGCGTGAAGACCCACGCTGTCCTATTATCTTTTCAAGCACAGCGATGTTCCAGGAATCTAATCAAGGTCCTAGTGGAGTGTAAAATTGACCTATATATGCTGATTCTCCATATGTGGTCAGTTGTGATGGCAGACTCTTGTATAGTGAAGTCCATGTTGGCTATCCATAGTTCCAGCAGAATGTGGCATCTTGAACAGATGTCTCCACATGCCTCTTGTAAATACCAGTATTTCTTGGTTATTTAATAGTATTGTATTTATTGTATTGTATTGTATTGTATTTATGTAGCATTAAATGGGACATGAGGCTGATATGTTGGAAGATATGACAGCTTATCTGAGGGTAAAATCGCATAATTTTACATTGATACTGAAGAAGACCACAAAAATCCTCACCTAGAAGAGACCTGTTTCCCAGCAACGAATCAGACCAGGTACAAATACAAATGGATATTATTGCTGAACTGAACCCACTCAGTCAGACAAAAGTTTTATTCGCTAATAATACTTGATGGCAAATTAATTTCATGCATTGTTCAAATTGCTTGCACAACATAAATCAATCTCAGCTCAAAAGATAAAGGTATGGTTGCATCTGTGCCTAAATACTATGCCATGAAATGGTATTCATGGCAAGCAGATGAAGCTTAATATGTTCTAGAGTTCAGCACTGAACATCCAGACCTTCAGGCTTCTACTCTTGAAACTTCAAACTAATCTGCTGCAACTTATGTACATCCAACAAGCACAACAAATGGGATATTAGATATACATGTGTAGGAGCTGGTTCTACTGCCAATAAGTGTATTTCAAATATACTGCAGGCAATCGGCAAGTCTGCCTTCATATTGGTATAAAGTAATATTGCCGAGACTTAATGAATTAGAATCAGGTAACAGCATTAACTTAAGTACTCTGGTTGGGTAAATTAAGCCTGATAGGTTATCAAACCTGAAACACTACTTTAGAAGAGCAAGTGAATCCACAGATTTTCCAGTCCCCAATTTAATACCTGAATGTGTACATATATACATATCCACTAATCATATTTATTTTGCAATTCTCATTTATAAAGAAATTCTGATCATGAAATTTGTACTTGACATGAAGTACTAAGGTTCTGCTATTAATACCAAGATGTGGTTACTTGAACTATACTGACAATATCTGAAGCAATCCAGGATCTCTACAGTTAATAACCCTTTAAGCACCTCACAGTAAAACCAATGCGGTATACAAATAAGTTTGTTCTGAAGCTAGTAACAGAGAACTCACACCAAGGACTTCAAGACCCAGTAAAAATTATACACTGAACAGTACTGCCTACCTTGCTATGATTCTATAATATTTATTACTCTGCTCAAGTGACAATGGAAAATCATGACTAGTTGAAGCACTCTGTCTAATCCATATATTTTTTATTACTTACATGACACCTAATACTTAATAAGAAATATGTTTTCAACATTTGCTTTTTAATTCTGAGAATTTACAAATGTAAAATAAAAACAAAATTATACAGTCTCACCTGCCTTAAGGTTGTCACTGTTACTTCCCCTTCATATGGTACACTGTGCCATCACAAAGGCTCTCGTGAACAAGCCATGACATCATAACTGTTATATCCAGTGCAGATGAAAAGCCATTACCTAATTAAAAAAAGTCAAATAATGGTAGTACAACCATTGAACCGCGCCATAGCTCAAGCAGTTAGTCGCTGGCTTCCCACTGTGGCGGCCCGGGTTCGATCCCGGGTCTGGCCAAGTGGGATTTGTGGTGGACAAAGTGGTGCTGGGGCAGGTTTTCTCCGAGTACTTCGGTTTCCCCTGCCAATCTTCATTCCACCAATTGCTCCACAATTACCCTCACCTATCATCTGGGGCTGGTACAATAGGCCAGAAGTGGCCGCAGTACAAGGGACTTAGTCCCACCCCACTAGCAATAAAAAAAACATTTCATATTTGTACGAATGAAACTGTACTAAATAATTGAAGCAAGTCAATGAGGTATAACCATTACATCTGATGTATAGTAAATTGCATAACCAAAATTTAGGTAAGTCTACCATTACTTTCAGTAATAAAATATTGTACAGCAATACCTCACATAGTCTGGGTAATCGGTTTTGTCAACATCCCAGACTGTTTGAAACCGGACTAATCGAGGGACTAAATACATACAAAAAATTATAATTGGTTTAAAAAAAATTCTCCATTTCTTAAAGATCTACCTGATCCATATTCTGCATTATGTAGAGGAGATCGTATTGGCTTTTGTGGTTACCCCATATGCACCGAGAATGATTTGTTAACTACAGAAATGGAATTTTGGATCGAACTGAGTGATGTGTTGGGTGCATAAGTGGAGTGGAAGCTGGAAATATTATACAGAATGGGCACCAGCAGCAGATACTGCTGTAGTTGCAAACCAGCATTTCGTGTATTTCCTTTATCTGACTGCTAGATTGTCCTCCAAATAACTACTACACAATCAGAATCACCTGCATATTCGTCCACAGAAACCTCATCAGAAGGGATATTTCTTCTACTTGTATGGTATTTCGCCTTCCTTTAGTTTACTTATAATGACTCATGGTAATAACTGTAATACAGATTCACGATTCCTTATTTACACTTTATTTTGCAAGAAAAGCCATTTTTCATAATTTCTACTAAATAAAACATGAGAACACATCTGAGGGTTTTTTATTGCTTGTGGGGTGGAACTAAGTCCCTTGTACTGCGGCAGCCTATTGTACCAGCCCCAGATGATAGGTGAGGGTGATTGTGGAGCAATTGGTGGAATTAAGATTGGCAGGGGAAACCGAAGTACTCGGAGAAAACCTGCCCCAGCGTCACTTGACCAGAGAAGATAGCGACTAACCGCTTGAGCTAAGGCCGCGCCATAGATAGTATTTAATTACATTATAGCATTATATACGCAAAGATCCTTCATAACACTGAAACAGAATACTCACTTCAGTACAGCTCAGAAATACAGAGAAATAATGCCCATTCAGCCCTCTGTAGCACATTCTTATAACCATCTTATTCTGTCACAGCTTCTTAATGTTCTACACTTCATTGAACAATTTTATCTGGTTGATTCCCAATGAATTTCGTTGAAATGTTCCTCGTGAAGCCCGGTGGCTTTCCGCAGGTGTCTTACATTGCCTTAGCGTCCCCGGAGCTTACCACTGAGCTGATTATCGTCACAAATACGTTAACTTCGTCCTCAAACTCTTCTAAATATTTCCCTAACACTGTCTCATCCTTTAAACTGTTCCTTTTCTCTATACTATTTGGACTTTATTCACAATTCAGGTCCTTCTAATTTCATCGGCTACCTTCCATTGCCTTCTCCCTAACGCAGTGTAGCTCGTTGAAAGAAATATATGCCATCTATCGGTGGTTTGATATTTTAGAAGTCTGAGATACTTCACATTTAGTTGTGTCCCAACGTTACTGCTGCACAAAATATGATTCTATATATCGCTATATATGGCGAGATAGGAATTAATGTGGCCAAAACATTTTACAAGTAAATAAAACTAATATTAACGCGTTCATACTAACTTCGCCGACAAGCGACGGTCGCTCGGTCGGTATAGTTCGCTTGCGGACTAAAACCATGGGGTTTGTTTATTTTTCATACCCTTTTATTTCTACACCACGACATGTTTTGATCATTGTGATCAACATGATGGGGTTACAATAAATTCGTAACAGTCGTCACTGAATCGCTGGACTAATATGGATCCATATTAGCGAATATAATGAATGAATGTATAAGGGGTCGGCCTTCTTGGCCCTTGCACCGCGACCACAGTGCTCTATTGTGCTTGAGAGAATATAATAAATTACAAATTAAAATTAAAGATTCGGGTATTTTTTACTTTGTTGTAACATGATAATAAAATATTATAACAGAGTATTAGTTTTATTTATTTACTAACGAAGTGTGTTGCCCCCTTGTTGATGCTCAGCAGGATTCGAACGAAAATTGTGGGGTCTGACGACGGTGTATAACACTCAGAATTACTGGGTTTTCAGACACTGTTTATCGTCTGGTATTCTAGAACCCAGAAAAAACGTTTTGGCAACTGGAGTCCTGACAAAATCAATTATATCACAGAAATGGCAGTCAAGTAACTGTAACACACATAATTTTCACTCTTTTCTTCTTATTATGGTGACAGCCCTGAACTCAACATACCACTTATTAAGCAATTTGAAATGACAGTATTTATATCAGAATAAATGTTTACCCTCTAATCATATATGGTATTCTCACATTATGATAAACAAAATTATAAACCCACTAAGAAATACAAAAGTAAAGAAAAAGCAAACTCATAACACTTGTGCTCAAAATTCAATCTGTAAAATCATAATGTGAATCAAAGTTTTTGTGTCCAGACTTGGAATCAGCATCTAGAATTAATTCAAACCGTTAGTTTTCTTTTGTTACCATAACCCTGCTGACTAGTTATGATAATTCCACGTCATGGGAACCCTCAGCAGTACATGCTTCGAACAGTATACAACTTTTCAGTATGAACCCAAAATGCTTATTATCTTCACATCCCTAGCCTGTGCCAAATCATAGCTTGATATTCTGTTTCTCTAATATTCATTTTAATATTACACTCCACTTGGACGACTGAAATTAGAGTTTCCAACTAAGATTTAATTTCCTCTTGCATTACTACATTGTGATCAAGGATAATGAGGTGGTCTGGGTATGTAGCACGAATAGGGGAAAAGAGGAATGCACATAGGATATTGGTGGGAAAGCCAGAAGGAAAGAGACCACTGGGAAGACCAAGGCGTAGGTGGGTGGACAATTTTAAAATGGATCTTAGAGAGATAGGATGGGATGGTATGGATTGGATTGATCTGGCTGATGGTAGGAACCAGTGGAGGGCTCTTGTGAACATAGTAATGAACCTTCGGGTTCCATAAAATGCTGGGAAATTCTTGAGTAGCTGCAGAATTGGTGGCTCCTCCAGAAGGGCTCAGCTCCGTAAGTAAGTATTACTACATTCTCCACTTACATACATTATCCTTCAGTTACAGCATTTATTCTCATAACTGATATACTAATACACCCAGGGCTTGAGGTGGGGCGGGATGGCATCCCGGTTCTCTTCTAAATGGCTTAAAAGCATCCCGTTACTTCTTTGGCAGTAAATGCAATGTACAATACCCATGGCTTGAGGTGGGGCGGTATCGCATCCAAGCACTGAATACACCCCAAAAATATGCCTCAATGTTGTATGTAAAATATGTGAATACTGCATTTTAGATTGAAGTGATTACAGATGAGTGTGATGTGGAATCATATGGATAGTTGTGCCTATGGATTCTACCATGTTATACATTGATGTAACATTGAGACAAAATCTCTAAATAAATTCTGACCAATGCATAATTTTCACAGAACATGCAATTAAAGCTGAATGCGTGGAAACTTGGTGTGGATATGCATGCCTAATTGCTTCATCACACAATTCCTTTATGAACATCAAGACAAAAGTGCTGTTGATAAAATTTAAACTGATTAATAATTTTCTCAGAAAATTAAGTTTCAAAACTGGGTACAATATGGCAACCACATGTGTATTCACAGCTATGGAAACCATCATGTGTTTCCTTGATGTACACTTACACAAAAATGTCCTTTGATAAAAGTGACTTGGCACCTAATTTTCATGGAAAATGCGATTAAAGATGAATGTGATACGGCCACAAAGTACAGATATTCATGCCAACTGCATCATTCTTTGTTGAACACAGAGATGAAAACTCCTCTTAATATAATTTTGACATGCAGTTTTCACAGAACATGTGACTGAACGAGAATGCAATGTTGCAACAAGCATGGGCTTCACCATGCAATTCCTTGTTTAAGACTCAATAAAAAGGCTCTAATACATAATCTATGCAGAAAACAAAGTTAGACCAGAACTCAATTTTCACTAGTGTTTGGTTCAGGCCTACAGAGGACCTGAAAATGTTAAAATTTTCCAGCCCTCTGAAAAAAAAAAGTACCATGCATAGGTGATATTTTAGGTTCTCATGGTAGCGATCCTCAAGATTAATTCTTCTGGGATGTGATGCCATGTAGCCTGATATATGAATACCTACATTTCACAGAAATGTTCTACCTTTGGCTTCACAGAAGAAGAGTGTTTCTTTTATCTTGAGGATGATGGCAACAGATTCTTGCAGAATGTGGTCCCTCTCTACAAAACTATGCAAGTTACTACCCTCAAGACTATACACTTTTGACACATAAATTCAGCAAAGGTATGTAAAATGCTGAAATGAACAAATTTATATGAATTTTCATTTTTCACAGCCATAAGTGTTCATGTATGCTTCACCAAAATGCTGGTACCTACCTTCAAGAATACAGCATCACAACCAAAAAGACTACAATCTTATGCAGAAAATTTTCCTATTAATTTTATGACATTAGTTGCCCCCTTACAAAATCCAGTCTGAATCTTTGTAAGGGCATGTTTGAATGTTATTTAAGATGTCGCAGGTATCACCAAAAACGAACATAGGAGATGAGTAAAGCAATGTTAAGATTAAAAGAAGGTATAAACAAAGAAGGTGAACATCTCCAACAATTGTATTATTTTATAGTTCTTAATTATACATAAAATGTTTTTCAATATAATTTTTTCCACAACAAACTACTGAAAATGGGCAGTAATGCAGCTCCAACAGTACACCACATATACACCAGACTTAAAATGTTGCTAACGGCCATCATCTACCTTAAAATACACTGCCATCATGGTTCAAGTAACGTATAATTAGCTATACCTATCAATATTCTACAAAAATAAACAAATGCAAATATAATCACTATCAACTGGCTGTTTAAAACAGCAACTAAATATATATTATACATACACATATCTTGGAGATTAACACTCGTATTTCAATAAATGTTACTAAGAAGACCATGTGGTTGTACTTCTATTAATCACATTTGTTTTCATACAGACTGAATCAACAGTTACAGTCAATTCATTTGTGTTATCACATATGTAGGTTTATTAGATGTGACAACATCTACTGTCAGAATGTATACCTGTAATAATATTTAGGTGAAATTATATAGGCATATAAAACAAAGAAAAGAATTCTATTAAGGTACATGAAGAATCCCCAAAACTTAAGAAATATCAGTTCACTGTCAAATAAACTTTTCCATCTATAAATTGAATAAGTAAATCATGCTCATTTTGAAGAGAATATTTCTCTCACAAAGTACAAATCACAATTAAGAATAAAACCATCTTTCCACATGAGGAACTGCATCAGCTGTTACATTACTTTATTTACCTCCAGCCAACTTCACCTTCTAAGTTAAGGCTTGTCAATATTAGATTCATAAGCACTCTGTTGCCCTTAGAAGCATTCTAGGTATCTGCAATAATATTAAACTATTCATAATAATTTCTCACTTGTTCCCTGATGATGATAATAAAGCACTCAATGAACTGATTCTGTCAAGTGGGGAAGAGTTCTAGATATTTGGGAATGTAGGGATTTTTGTGTAAATAATGACCTAATCTACTACAATTATTTTATGCTGGGTAATTTTTGTGTCACTGAGCTAAAACGTTTCAAAAAATGTTTTGATGTTAGAACAAAAGATGCAAAACTATTCATAAATTCATAATCTAATTCAATCCCTATTTTCTTTTTCTGTTGGATTCTCACCGAAGTTCCTCCCACTGCCCATCGCCCCCAGAAAACCGGCAACTTGTTCTACACTGTACCCACAGAACATCAGCATCTGAAGAAACAGAAAACAAAACTGCATGATACCAGGATGTCTGTTTTTCAATTTATAGGGAACCCACACAGAATCTAGTCCCTTTCATTGGGTTAATAATAGCGGGAAACATATGACTGAAGGGTATAAGTTTGTTATGATTACTGACATGACAGGCTGACAGTTTGCCATCATCAAAATAAGAAAAAATGACCCTGGTTCATTCAGTAGTTTTCAGCAGTTACGTAACATTTTCAAGGTAAAATATTTTAAACTCAGTTCCCTTTGAAAGCATATTAAATTATTCATTCTGTCCCAAGGCACATGACTGTTGAGAGCAGCGTACCTTCTCTTGTTCCTTCAGGATTACTTTTGTAATTTATTCACAGTTTCTGAGATGGCATCATTGATAAAAGCTGGTATCTCACTACACAAGGTGCAATAAAAATATCCAGACTAACTGCAATGTGGCACTACTAGCTAATAGAATTCTCCTGCTAAGTGATAATACAATATAAGTTACTGTATAATCTGATGTTAATTTCATACTAACCATGTGTTATTCAATAATTTTTTCAAAAAATGAAATTTCCTCAAGTTTGAAGCTAGGAAAAACTGCTACAGAAGCTTATGCCATGTTAAACGTGCTTTTGGAGAGAAAATAGTGAGTGCAACTAAAATGAGATGTTTCTGAAGTTCTAAAGTAGAACGGATGTTACTGAACATGATATCCATTTACGGCATGTTTTTAACACTGATGGAACTTGACATCAGCAGAACATTCCACAGGAACAAAATGAGAATCAACGTATGTATGCAGATGTTCTGCAGCATCAATGGAAGATGCAATGAAAACATCCTGAAAACTGCACACTGGAAATTGGTTCCTCCATCATGAAAAAATGATTCCCCTAAGTCTTCAAATGTGTGAATAAATTTCTGGCCAGAAACAGCATTAACTCCATACCTCCCCAGACATAACCATGTGTGACGTTTTTCTTTCCACAACTGAATTTCATATGCAAGCAGATAAGATCTACTGACCACAGCAATAAATAAAAGTTGCAGACAATATCTGTGGAGTTCAAAACACAGGGTTTTCATAAACGTTTCTACAAAGGCAGAACTGCTAAATTTGTTGCATCAAGGTGGAAGGCAACCAGCATGGAATGGCTGCTGAACTATAATGTGAAAAGTCAGTCCAGAATTTCATTTGTCATTCCGAACTTATACTATCTCCTCCTACACCACAATCAAAATTTTAAACTTTTACTTAAGGGGGGGGGGGAGATACTTTCAATTGGTACTTTTAGCAAAGAAATTATAAACACCTAAAATAAAATGTACGATATTGTATTAAGGAAGAACTAAAGTTTTTTTAAGAGACGGTAAATATGAAATCCCAAAAAAGACCAAGACTATTCTCATTTAGGTAATTTTAATTCTTCATAATTTTGTGTCACTACATTCTTAGCTTTTTCAGCTTGTATACAATGTGCAATTGCATACAAAAAATAATGATACTCAGTTTGTGTTGAGGTGCGAAGAGAATGTAAGAAGTGATATTCAAAAGAGAGAGAGCAGAGAATAAAGGTATGGAGGGGGTCCAACAGAATTGAATCAGAGGATCATTACCATTTTCCTGGACACATTAGCAAAGCAACTTCATTTAGACAGATTTGCTGGTAACTCTATCTTTCTTAGAAGAATGTGAGATTCACATACCTCTAATTCTCAGTACTGCAATATTTTATGAAAATAAGAGGCATCCACTGTTTCCATTCTTGCATGCATTTTATACCGAGGTTATTTCTCCAAACCTTTAACCTTTTCATGGCAGTGACTGAACCAATGTGACAGACAGCAAGAGACTTGCCACCAAATGTTTACATACTGTGTATGTAATTTTTAAAGACAGTTATTTAATAATGCTCTTTGTATTGGGACTATACAGCATTGGCACTAGTTTGTACTGTGTGTAATTCATATATATATATATATATGTGTGTGTGTGTGTGTGTGTCTGAAGAAAGTACAACTACGCTAAATACAGTTTTTCTGAAACTTGTAGCAATGGGGCTGGCAATACAGATATTCACTGCAGATACATTACAATTATTTATTTACTGTTAACATGTGACATTGTTGCAACTTTTGTACACCTAAAGAAGATCGAAATTCACTTTGAATCAGTTTATGCAAATATTTTTAAATTTCATAAATGTGCCTACAAAATCCTCTGAAGATATTTCTCCCTCTTTTGGTAACTGAATAAAAAATAGACATTATTTTGAAATTAAAAGAAAATGTATAAATTCAGCTGTAAAGGTATACATACAAAATGACACAAAATGCTCTTCTTTCCAACTCTTTGCCCTATTACTGTCAACATTTACACTGATCACACTGGACCGATATAAAACAGAAATATTTCAACACTACATTTCAAGCCACTTTATGCAACTGCCTTAATTCATTAAAAATGAACACCATGGCGAATACAACAGTATTTAGTCAAGCCATTGAAATAACAATTATGCAATTAATTTTATTAAATAACATGGTGCAGTACACTTATGATATTTGAAAAAATTAATATTTCACGACCTATTAAGGCTTAATTTTATTTATCAAGAAGAATTCTAGAGCTTAAAGACCTTTCTTCTCCAGATTTTCACATGTCTGTTATTAAGGAGTAATATGGATATGAGTAACTCATTTAAGAGAAGATTTAGGGGGACTCTTCTGTCATGCGCTTGCTCCATACACACTGTCTGTGTTCCGCAGAAAACACCGCAGCAAGCACAGGCTCCATCTGCTTGATGCGTGCCATGAATCTCACTCTATCCCTGGCCATTTGTTCCCATGGACCACATCTAGCTTCATGGTACGCATGGTTCCACTTTACCATTGGATGGACTGTCATCAGTGAGGTGTCGCAGGCAAAATGAACCTGAAATCCGAAATCACATTCTTTGTAGAATTAACATCATGTACTGGGAAGAATATGTACTTGATTTTTTTTCAAATTCTTCAATTTGTGTAGAGGTTAATGAGCAACATGAGCTATTAGCCACAAAACTTAGTGAACTACCTTTCTCATACTATATATTTCCACTATGTAAATGCTGACAAGCAGAACCTTGAGTTGTTTAAAATCATTATTGTGGACTCTCTACATATCTGTATTTACTAAAACTACCTCTGAAAAACTGGTTCTATTTGTGTCTTGAGGTGAAGATATTAGAACAAAAACTTTCAAACCACGGTTTTCAAGCAGCTCTACCAAAGGGCCCAACAGCATAGGTCATCTGACATACTGTGTTCATGTCAAGGCAGAGATAGAAGCAATTTCCATAACACAGTAGAGTAGTTTCATATTAACAGGTCACATTAGTAACTTTAATATTGAATCACAATGTTTAGCACCACCAACCACGGAAGTTTTCTAAGAACAAACCCCAAAGCCTAACCTCATAATGGTTTCAGATATTTATTTTTAAAAATAAAACTAAAATCATAAGTTTTCTAAAATGGAACCAAAGGCCTAAACTTTTAAAAACATAACACAAAGCCTAACCTTGTAGACTTGTTGGAAGAAAATTCTTAGGTTATCTTATTGGGACTTGAACCCGCAACCTTCCGGCTTGTAGCATAGGCCCTCAACCAACTACGCTACCTCATGCCCCTGGACTGAACACTAAACTTAAGAAAATTTCAATCATTTGCTTAAGCAAATTTTCTTGTCAGCTTTATCCATTTGTCTATAATTTCGTGAAAACATATATATGATCCCATTTGTCACCATCATGTTTGTAATCAGTAATAATTTCAGAGACTTCCTTTGTAGTAAGATCTTCATATTTCCTTCTGGCCAGCATGATGAGTACAGTGCAGTCAAACTTTAATTTCATTTTCACAATCAACACAAATAAGTTTCATCACACACCAAAGACAAGAGCTTCTGACCTCTTAAAATCATGAAATTTAAGCGTATATGAATACCACGAGAAGTCAATTCGGAGAATGTACACATATTAAAATATCCATCAAAGAGTTAAAGGAGAAAATTCAACAGAGAGAATCTGTGTGAGACCAGAAAACATTGAAGACAAAATGGTGGGAAATTTCATAACACTGATAATCACAGTACGGCATTCCAGAATTTAAGGAAAACACTCCAACCGAAAATATTAATAACACTTTTTTCTTCATCGTTCCAGTCACCACTTATGCATGTTATACAGACCATATGTTCTCTCTATATTACCAAAAAAACAAGTAGTATAAACAACCGGGACGAGAAGTGAGAAGAATGATCACAGCCTATGTCAACACACTACCTCATCATTCACCTGGCAAGACCGGGAAAAAAAAAAATATGGCCTGTAGTCTGCAAGCGAACTATACCAACCGAGAGACCGCTGCTTGTTGGCGAAATTAGTGCCAACTTTTGCGGATAGAGGGTGTCATGTGGTCAGTGCAATGGATCTCTACAGCCGTTAATCTCTGTTTTCTAGACTGCAGCCATTATTTCCTTGAAATAGCTCCTCAATTATCCTCACAAGGGTGAGTGGACCCTGTTCCACATCCACTACTTCTCAGAAAATATGGTAGCGCCGGATCTAGAACCCAGGACCTCTGGATCTGTATCCAGGAACTCTTGACCACAGAGGCGGTCCTGGATAGACTTTAACTAAGTATTAAAAATTATGTTGGATTTGAGATACTCATGGTAATGAGACAGCATGATTACCGTCTTTTGGGACGTGACAGTGTTAATTTTTGTAATGCATACTGACATTTCAGAGGAACCTGCTTCTCCTCCTTTAGGATAGTAGACCTCTCCACCCTGGATATGGAGTCTGCAGGTTCCTCCAAAAAACTGGTACTCATCTACTAAACTACAAAATGGCACATTCCAAAAGACTCTATGTAATACTGATGACACATTTAATTCAACACAGCCTGTCACATTACCAAGACATTAGTCAGACATGATATAACTAAACATGCCTAACTGAAGTTAGATACTTCAGAATGTCTAGGTTTTTGGACTTCGTCCATCATCCAAAAACCTTTTAATTCTGAGTGCTATACACCATCATCAGAACACTTTAGAATCCATTAGATACTTCACTTTACTGTCTTGTATCCAATTGTGAAACATATATGGTGGGATGATTATAAATGATGTATCGGAAAAATTTGTACATCTGGAGGAAATGAGGAAAATCATGACAACCCCAGCGCAGGAAATTGGTTTGTAGTCAATATTCAACTGGGTACCACCTGTCAGTACAGCAACTGGCTATGGGCTGGATGAGCAACAGGTTGGAGTTCGAGTCCTGGTAGGGTCAAGAATTTTCTCTTCTCCAAATCGTCCAGAGTGGCTCTAGGGCCCACCCAGTCTCCTATCCAATGGGTACCAAGGGCTCTTTCCCCGGGGGATAAAGCAGCAGGGGCATGAAACCGACCACTCAACACCAGCTAGTGCCGAGGTCAAGAAAATGTGGATCTATACATCCACTCCCCATATGCCTTCATGGCGTAGTGCTTAATTACTTGAGCACAGGGACACCCTTACCTTACCTCCAGAATGACGGATACATTAAGAGCCATGTCAAAACATGATACTAAGTGGAAAGTTATGAACATAAATTCACAGAAATAATACAACTTTCAGTTGCATCATCACTCTGGATGATGAACTGTTATAAAAAATAAACAATATGACAGTAATAACAGAGTATAAATGAATAAAATTGCCATGGGGACTGATATATCACGTCTTATGAGTAACTTCCTGTTCAGTGTTCAAGAATTTCCTTTTGGGATTATGACAATTTTAATTACTCACTTGTGGTATATCGGTTAACTGCAACCACATCTATGGAAGCTAAGACCAACAACTTGAAAATTATCTCTTTTCAATCTTACATATTTTATCAGGATCTTATTCCTGGCGAGAAAGTGTTTAGAGCATGGAGTACAACTGGAAAGAGTCACAGCAAGGTACTAGAAAATACAGATCTACCTTTCTTCCAGCAACTAAAATGTCTGTTTCACCACCAGATCTAGAAGACCCTTGCCATACATACCTTAACAGGTTTCTTCTCACAGCCTGAGTATTTAGAATAGCCTCTTTGCCATCTTGCATTGATTTCTTCTAGTCCAGTGACAGTCTGAAAACAAATGGTTACAAGGTTATGAAGCAAAAACTCTGAAACAAAGGGTTACAAGGTTATGAAGCAAAGTCAGTGCCCCAATAAAAGTTCAGGAATCATTAAAAGTGAAAAGACACCCTGAAATTGTCTTCTCTGAAAGCAAGGACTTACTCATGTGAAGATGATATTGGAAAAAGGGGTTCTCTGGAAAGAGGTCGAAACGGGTCACACTAAAAGTTAATGAAGATCATCAATGTCAACAGTAATTACAATTCTTTTCTGGCATAAGCAAAAAATTGTGGTACAACATTACCTATTAATTACAGATGAAAGGTCAAGTTCCTAGTGGTATCTCAATTGGACAAATTGGAATACACAATTCAAGAAACAGAAACTGTCCTAATGTGGCTCTGATCAGGATAGGTTATGTTTCTAAATTTCAGTCTGCTTTATTTGTCATGAAAACCATCACAGAAAAACTAAATTAACAGCCGTGGGGATTCACTGCACTGATCACGCAACACCCTGTATCTGCTAAAATTGGCACTAACTTCATTGACAAGTGGCAGTCGCTTGGTTGATATAGTTCGCTTGAGGACTAAAACCACAGAATTTATTTGCTATGACAAACGCTGAAAATGAGCAGCAAGGTTTTAATCCTAAATCCACTAACCAACTGTCCAATATGAAATACTGACTAGTGTCATTAACTTAAAACATAGCCCAAAGCCATTACGAGATAAATAAAATAACAAGCTATGTGGCTGCTGTACAGTACCACTGAACCATACTTCATAAACCTTACTCACCTCTGTGTCATCACTTTCCACCTTTTCAACATCACAATCATCATCATCGTCATCGTCATCATAATCATAATCATCATCACTGTCATCATTGCTGAGATGGTTAATGGTTTCATCTTCAGAGAGTTCGGAATCAGAGACTAGTACCACTGTGACAGGATCAGAATCCACACCGGATTCAAAAACCACAAAACTGTCATCACTATCAGTTGAACAATCTGATGACGATCTATTTCTAGGTGAACTTTCTTCAGAACAATGATGACTTTCAGGACTAGAGGTTGATGTCTGTACCTTACCAGATGCACAAACTACAACAGATATGCTGCCACCATCAACTTCATTAGTGAACACAGTACATGCATCCATATCTCCACCTTTGGATGAGCTACACTTTATTACAGTACATGATTTAGTACGTTTATCTTTCCTAATGTTTTCGCAATTTGAACTGTCACCTGTACTAGCATCATACATCACTTGAGAGCAATCCATGTCTACTTTCTTAGACACAGTCCTTAGAGAATCCTGTTTCATATCCTGAATATTCCTCCCACTATTTATTCTTTCAAAATTTGATTTACAAATATCTCTATTATTTTCTGTAGTCTTGTTTACTTGTTCCAGATTTACTGCTTTATATTTAGAATAGTTTGATTTCTTTGTGCAGCCAACAGCCAATTTATGTCCCTTTCCAGATGAATCATGGTGGTATGTACAAACAAACTGTCTTACGCTATTTCTCAACATGTTACCACAACGTGAAGAGCTATTTCTCCTTTTCATAGTAGGTGCTCTTGAGCACTGTTGCTTACTTTGTTGAGCTACAGAAAAAGATTTTGCCACTTCAGCATATGACTGCTTCAAAACATCAGATGGAGGACAAAATTTGTTACCATTCCACAAAGAACTTGATATCACAGAAGGAGCAGACTTTGATGACCAACGAATAGAATTACATGATACAGTCTTAGGATGTGGCAGTGTACCAATTATCATATCTTGCAATGGGCTAGCAATGTCTTCTTCTATGACATGTGAACCACCAAGAGTCGAAACACTTCCCTGAGAAAAGGGTCCCTGTATTTTTCGGTGCAAACTGTTTCCAAAATTGTAACAAGTTGGAGAATTTTTGTTTGCAAATAATGAGCAGCACACAGGCTGTGGTGCACAACAGAACTCTGAAAGTTTACGAAAAATAATGTCCCAAATTTGACATGATTCTCTACTAGAGGATCCTAGTTGGCTTTTACTACCAACAAATCCCCCTACCAATTGTGACAGGGAAACTGCTGGGAACTTCTGACTGTATATTCCTTTTGGAGGCAAAAAACTCTCGTGCCTCATACAGTTTCTTCTATCACTTGTGAAACTATGTAGTTTTCCAGTTAGATTAAAATGTTTTGTTAACTGTAGTTCTGCCATTCCAAAAGAATGAACCAATGGCTCTTCCAACTTATGGCCAGTAAGCTCAACAAATGGGATCACCGATTTATGTATCCCCGTGTCCGATAACCGATGCATCGAAGTTCTATATGACAAGAGATCTTCAGCACAAATTTCAATTCCCGGGATATCCATGGTTTGCAATAAGAGTTCCAAGTCCAAGTTTCCCTTGAAAGTTTCGCTTAATATATAACGTTGTTTATTCTCTAACGTAACGTGGAAACCTAGCAACATACCATCGTTATATGTATTACGTTATTAATTGGCTATCTACACAGAAATTAATCTGTATCAAACATACTCCAAATGTTTCTACAATTTACCATACAAGGTACAAATTGGGCCCAACAAACACACAACTGTAACTTCTTTAGATTGAATGTATGATATGCACAAAACTTGTTTTTCTTCCTGAATCGTCTGGGATTTTTATCAGTTTCTGAATATATACAACACAAAGAAATCTTCTGAATTTTTGACTCGCCGACCGCTGGACTATATTTTTCTGCTTCACTTGTCACACAGTTTTCTATTATCTCCATCTTGAAATAATTTGTTTTGCACAACTCGACTACAATATTTCATGCCTCCATTTTAACGACTTATGATTAACTGTGACGTCATGTTATTGAGGCACGTAGCAACATCCATGGATTATTAAAAATACGGACTCCATAGTAACTGGTATTGGGACGGTTGAAACCATGGGCAGAGACATCTTTTAATCATGCGATAAACCATTCTCCACGCACGACGTTAGCCGCAGAAATTCCCTACAATTGGGACTGTGAAAAGTTCTTTCTTAATTAGCTCTGTATGATGCAGCGATAGCATGCAAAAATTTGTCGACATTTCGGAGGAGCGTACTGCCTCCATCTTCAGCGTCAAAATATCCCAAGAAAGCAGCAAGCAGGGTAGACCTCAGTACTAATCATAGCAAATGAGCTTGTCATAAACACTAAGAGGAGCCAAATTTTGAATTTAAAAAGGAGATAATTGGTCAATGTTTGATGCTTTCATGTGTGGGTCGCAACAAGTCAACAATACATGGAGCTATACCTCCACCTGTTCATATACGTGGTCTTCACAGTGTGGCACTTCATTAAGCATGGGGGCAACCTCACCTTTATAGTTATGTATCTTGGTCTTATGCTCCAAGTCACAGGAAAAACGTTCATTACGCACACCGAAAAAAGGTCCAATGCTTTGATCAGTAATATTAGATATTGTGACGTGTTGCGCTATGCAAGACACCCCTCCCTCCGCCAGCGGTGACGTAACACCATCGGAGCGCTGTCGTTACTAGGGTAGCAGGCAAGTCAACACTCCTTCCCCTACCCCGCCAGCGGTGACGTGGCCAAGGGATGCCGCGGTTGCTGTGCAGCCGTAAACAACTCCCGGCAGCGCTGCCCAGCAACGCCTTTGTAAACACAGCGGGGAGTCCGTGCAACGACTGTTCCTAGGCAGTCGGTAAACACGACGTTACGCAACAGTGGTGCCTATTACTTAACTGTTTTCTGTGTTGTCCGTAACGGGGCTAAATACGGAGCAGCGAACACAATTCAACAGTGAGTTACGAGTTAGTCAGCAGTGAACGAGTTAGTGTGTGATCAACAGTTAGTGTGTGATCAGAGTGAGTGTGTGAGCAGGAGCAACACAGTTGGAGTATAGCAGCAGTCGCCGAAAGAAGAACCGGACGCGTGTGATAATCAGTGATAGTTTGTGATAACTGAGAAATAATTGGGAGTGTGTAATACAGTGACACTTATATAGCTCCCGTACTGTGTACTCCCCAGTGTCTGGGGGTACAACCTGGCCACCCTGTTCCTGGGGGATATAAATATGGGGACCTGGTCCTCCAGGTTGGCGATTCTCGAATCTGAGACAGCAAAATGTCGTCATGAGTCCTTCGTTTTTTATGACATATTGTTTGCTCATAAAACTCCGTCTGTCTTCAGTTTCTCACCCTTGACGGCACAGACAAAGATACGGTTGACGAAAAGTTCTCGGTGTGAAAAGTTGAATTCTGTGTTGCACTAGAGTGATTCATTTTATCACGATGCCTAAAGCAAAGCCATCTAAATCGTGTCATTGAAAGCAGATTGTAGCTGAATTTGGAGAAGATATACGTATTTTCAACTGACGGTAACATTTTATACAGCAAAATGTGTGACACAAAATTAGCGGCAGAAAAATGTTTCACGGTACAACATATCGGCAGCAACAAGCGAGCAGTGCAAAGGAAATCTGTGCAAATGTTATTGCAACAGTGTTCATGTAAAGGCGCAAATAAGTCATCGGATTTTTTCAGATCTGTGTGATGCTCTGGTGTCTGCAAATATTCCGTTTTGGGCTCTGAAAAAAAAAAATCTGGACGTGAACTGTGGTCGTTCTAACCCGGATGAATCCACCCTCAGGAAAAAACTACGTTTCCACGCGCTACAACAATATCATGGAAATGATTAGGAATAAATTGCATGGGAAGAAGATTTTCGTTTCTATTGATAAGATCTGCGATACGGAAGCTCGCTAGGTGGCAAACGTCATCATTGGAACCTTGGAAATTGATGGACCAGGTGAAGTGTTTCTGCTTAATAATGAGTTGCTAGAATCCGTTAATCATTCCACAATTTGTAAACGTTTTGACAGGTCGATGTTCCTACTGTGGCCAGAGGGTGTACGACACGACGTCTTCTTGCTTTTTGTGACCGATGAGGCCCCATGTATTTTAAAAGCAGGTAAGTAAATGAAGTCGTTTTATACGAAATTGGCGCACATTACTTGCCCAGCACAGAGTGACGGAGGAAGTGAGATCAAAATTTCCTCAAGTTAATGCTTTCGTGTCGTGGACGAAGAAGATTTTCGTCAAGGCTCCAACTCGTAAAATACAATTTAAATCTATGGCTCCTCGTGTTCCGCTACTCCCGGAATCCGTGATCGCAAGGTGAGGAACGTGGATTGATGCTACAATTCACTGCTGCTATCAGTTTTAGGCAGTGAAAAACATTATATATTCAATGAAGACAGAAGATGCGAGGGCAATTGAAGCTGCTCAGGAACAGTTCTCATGCAGCGAAATGGAAGGAGAGCTGGCCTTCATTAAGGCAAATTTCAGTTCCTTGACGGAAGGAATCCAATGCTTACAGGAGAAAGGAGCAACGCTAGGAGATTCGCTCGCGCTGGTGGTGGGGGGGAAAGAGCCAGTGATTTGGAGAAAGTGTCAGAGGACATTGGTAAAATGGTGTCAAGAAAAATGAAAAATGTTCTAGACAAAAATTCAGGTTATGAAACAGCAGCATTTCTCGAATTCTGACAGGAGAGTCTTTCAGCACTTTCAATATTGAAGAGCTTACTGCTAGTGATTTGGTACACTTCAATTACGCTCCCACTGTGTCTGTAGATGTGAAAGGAGTTTCCCCAAGTACAAGAATGTGATGTCGGACATTCACCTTTCGAGAATGTCCGCATGTTAACTGCCATCTATTGCAACTTTGAATGAGGTGACACTTAAATATTGGAATATATACCGTATAAGCGTTCCAACGCGGTAGAAAACATCGTATTAAAACATTTAGCTTCAAATTCAATCATATACTGCTTAATTTTCAACATAAAATCGAGGACGAACTTAAAAGGGCAACACTGAGTTCACAGTGTTAATAAAGATTAAAAATACATTTTAAAAGAATTAGTAATTTTCCATGACATGATACATTTTAGGTTGCTTTTTTAACTTTCAGGTCATTTTTCTGGATTTTTTTGGTCATTTTTAACATATTTTAGGTCATCCAAATCCGGGCTCTGATGATGATGATGATGATGACACAAATACAGTCTCAATTTGAAGTGATTTGTTGTTTTAAATTTATATTATGAGATATGATGTCAATATGTGTTTTAACTGTGTTTAGAATGAACCAAACAAACTTTGGCAGAAGCTAACGCATCATTGTATGAATTCTATTGTACAGCAAGAAAAATGTGTTGTATCATTGAAGTCATTCGATATTCTGAAAAGGAAGTGGCTGATACTGTCCCATCAGACCATGTTCTAGACTCTGTGTTCACCTTCCTCCACCAGATGTTATTGAATCAAGAGGAGAAAAACCATGAATTATCTACATGTCAGATCTACAGTGGAAGTGTCTGATGTGTTCGCATGCTACCTTCCAAGAATATATTCGTTCAATCTTGTATTGCAATGTTCAAAGTGAATAAATTTATTCAATTATTTTTAGCTTACTGTCCTTCTCTCAAGACTAAACGGACTTATGTGGTCATCACACTGTCTACATGTCTGTGTGTTGCCACATTTTAAATTCTGAACCACTTGATTGATGCTCAAGAAATATGGTAATAACATGCCACTGCAGGCAATCTCAGTCTCATTTAATCCTAATAATCTGTGCAGTTAACGCAGTGATTACTAATAAGAAATACATGTTCATCATGGAAAATTACAAGAAGAAATTACCCTAGGATTCAAGTGCATATGATCTGCTGTTTTTCTTAATTTATTTAATAATATTCTGTTCACTGTACTATATTATATATTGTACAAAAATGCCTGAAGACAACATGATTATGAATTATGAGTTTGTATTATCCATTTGACAAGGAATGCACTTTTCTTTGAGGTTCTTTGAGTTTGTTTTCATCAGTTCTTGAGTTCTTCAGGGGTGAAGAGGAGGCACAGGGGAGCTGTACCAAGCTTATCAACCTATGTCACCTGTAAGCAAATTAAAGATTCATGAAGCTGCCACATGCATGCCTACATCAGATGACTAATAAGTACATGGAAGCAAGAGGTCATGATCCAGTTTAAGGTACTATACTAGCCTGAGGAGACTGATGAAAATAAAAAATAAACTTCATTCAGGAGATTAGATACTGAAAACAAATGAGAAATATTGCATCATGGAACACAAAGAAAAAAAGAGTACAGTGACAAAAGGTTGAAAAGCCCTAATCACAGAGTAAACCTTTATTTATTTTCCTGTACCAAATCACATTACATATTTAAACAATTAATTTTGAAACAAGAAAAATATTTCAACAATAAATAAATCTTGTAGCAAGTTAAGATGCAATTAATAATAGACTTACATGTATACACACCAACATTTAAATTCACAATGGAGATAATATGCATGTAGCATATATTCAACTACACACTCAATTCTTAACATCATTTGCTACACAGACTTTGCAATTACACTTGGCAGAATATGCTATCAATTTCCCTCAACTGGGTATGTGTGTTTGACAGCTAATGTACATACTGTAGTTTATATACAAATTCATACAGAGTGAATACAAGTATACTTGTTCGTACATAACACATATGACACTAATATCAGTCCCTTTTAAAAACAATTATTAGCATGCCAGAAAGGCTCATCATATCTGTAATTGGGGTGAGAAAACATAAAGGACATAGTTCACAAAATATGTATCCATTCAGTTTTAAAATTGAAATAGTTAACATAAAAACATTTTTCCTTCTTATGGGAATTTCTAAAATAGCAATGTGCACTTTCTTTTTAATTATCTTAGTGGAGGGTGGAGTCCAACTGGGTCCACTCGGCACGGCGGCCACTGATTGGCCTATTGTAACCTGCCCCGTGTGACTATGATGATGGAGAATTTGGTGGAATGAAGATTGGCAGGGAAAACTGAAGTACTCGGAGAAAACCCGCCCCAGCGCCACTTTGTCCACCACAAATCCCTCTTGACCAGACCCGGGATCGAACTCGGGCTGTGGGCGGTGGGAAGCCAATGACTAACCGCTTGAGCTATGGCGTGGCCAAATATGCACTCAGTGTGTTTTAAGAATGTTCCTTCAGATTAATTCCAAAACCCATAGCCAATCAAATATTTGGAATTTAAATTCTTGCAGCAATGAGTATCAAGATTATGGTCTTGTGGAGTGTGATGCCACATAATCTGGTATATGCAAGTAATGTTTCAAAGGATCCTACTGTGTCCATATTTAGGCCAGACCACAATGATGGACGCTGAAGATGGATGCAGGAGGTTCCTCAAAAATGTTGATGCCCACCTATCAAACAACATGGCATCACAGGCCAGGAGGCTGTAACCTTGAATGAATTATTCAGTCACCCATAACTATTTCAGCTAAGTTAGAGGTTCAAAATTGCAGAGTAAAGGACGGATAATGACTCTCAACTTTAAACCAATGAACTTGGCTTTAGCATACTCTCGTTTCTTGCCAGCATGAAGCTCTGCATCAATATGACACATTAAAACATTTCAGTGTCACTTCCCAGAAACATTGTTTTGTGACATTTGTTTGCAGAATTGTGAAGTGAAATATGAGAACTGTCATCAGTGAACTGTCTTAGAATTATATACAACAACGGTAATATATTTGTCACATGAATGTTTAAATCAATTCTCAGTTGAACTGACAACAAATATAGCATAATATTCTGAAGTCAAACCTTTGTGTAATTCAGTGATTTCATATATTCATTTTCACCCATACTGTTTCTTGTTACAAATTCATTTATATGAATTGTACTGGTATGTCTTGAACTAGAAATTGTTACTTTACTTTGCCAGCTGATGTAGATGACTTTTGATGGCTTCACAGCAGATATTTACATAACCACAATGACACATTTATATCAGGTCAAATGAAACAACAGCTTCGTGGTAGCACTTTCAATTTTTAAGTTAAAGTATATATTCACTGCACCATTTCTGCAAGAAAGTTTATATACCGTATCTTTGAAATTAAAGATACTTGTCCTATAATACAATAATTGACATAAGAGTCAGATTCAGAATGCAGTCGTTGAAATGTCTCTTTAATTTATTACTCATTTATGAGTCCTAATATTTTTCAGTGCACAGAAAGATGATCTGTTTCAGTTGAAACTGTATAGACACTGCAACAATTGACATTGCTGTTGGCTGCTTGACCATGTGAGGTAGCGATCGCCATATGGAAATGATGATGACTCAGAAACTGTTAAATTTCAGTTGGCTGACTTGAATGTCTTGATACTGATAAATCAGTGGCTTGTGATATGGCACACTTATCTACCAGTTTAGATGCAAACTGCTAGGTGGAATCATAATCAGGGTGTACCATGGGAGGATGAAGATGATGTTGGAGATGTGGAGGAAGCTCCATGGGAACTCCCAAGCTGCCTCGCTAAAAAATATAATCAACAAACTCTATGTAAGGTAGTTGTGGTGTCATGACACTGAATGATATTTGTTCCCTTTCACTCTTGGTCTGAGACCAATATATTATGAAAAAATGTGCCAGTCAAATGGTGGACTCAGTCTGACAGTCCCAAAACTCTTAAAAGAAAGGTAAAAACAGTTGTCCCTGTGCTTATCTAATTAAGCACTACACCATGAAGGCATATGGGGGATTTTCTTGACCTCGGTACTAGTTGGAGGTGAGTGGTCAGCTTCACGTTCCCCGTACCCATTGGATAAGAGGTTGGGTGGACCCCAGAGCCCGACTGGACCACTTTGAGAAGAAAAACACTCAAAGGTGTATGCAGCTAAACTTGGGAAGTCATGCCCCACTCCATAAGTAGAATGATTTCCACATGTTTTAAACATAGAAAAATAAGGATAGTAATGGTCTACCAGAATATAAGGCATCACATTCCAGAAGAGAGTACAAGTTAAAGCTTACTTGCACAATGAGCAGATGTTGTAGTGGTAATCCACTATAGAGTTGTATTTAGGGGAGACCTGTGTTATTCTAAGTTTGATTCTCGGCTGCGGAATTGGCGACCATGAGAGTCCTTTTATAATCTTCCTCCTTCCTAGAGAAGGGGTAATTGGTGAATTGGTTTGTTGACCAGTTGTATACATCTCTCAGAACTACTAGTAACTACAGTGCCACTGCTGATCTCCACAATTCACAGATCACCACAGTGCCCCCTACCCTTTTCCAGCCTGCCATGTCTTCAACAGCCATTCCCTAGCACCACTGTTTAACAGTGGGGATTCTTCAGCTTCTCACACACAGGTCCTGTCTTCACAGCCTACCGTGCAGGACTCAACTTTTAACTGACAACCAGCTAGGTCCTAGGCTGGCAGCAATTTCACACCAACCGCTTAGTCAACTGAACTGCTTCAGCTAGCATGGGGTCAAACAGCAGAACTCTATTCTTCGGTAATATACTCCTCAAGCACTGTCGTCCTCTTGACTACTGAAATCAGTCTTCTGGCCACAAAGAAATCAAACAACAGAATGTTGCTCTTCTGTAGCATTGTCCTCAGGCACTGAAACCAACTTCTGAACATGCACATGCACATTTGCTACCTGGACTATCATGAAGCTGGACTGTGCTGCTACCTAGTGATTCACATAGAAAACGTATTACGTCTATTGCAGTTGTTTTACTTCCATTTGCGACATATTTACTGATTCTTTCTTGTAGTTCAGTGAAACCCACCATTTTAGGTTCCTTTGGATATAAGTCAATGTGGACATTAAACTGAAGAAAATCTTAAATGTAGCAAATTTAACGCCGAGATTATTGATCTTGGATCACTGAAAGTTAAAGTTAAATGAGGTACAACATTAAATTGAGAAATATTAAATGGTCCAGTATTCTCCTCCACACCCTGTTGTCAAACAATCTCAAACCAAAATTTTCAGATCCACAGGAAACTAAGGATTTTTGTTGCCTGCTTAATTCTAGTCTAAGTGAACGTAGTGGCATCTAATAAAATTTCTGTGTTCTGTATAATATTTATCTTTTCAGCCAAGAAATTGTTGGCCGCTGCCACCACCACTGAAAAGCTGCTGATATGTTTCGATCATTTCCAGTCTTATCTGACTATCTTGGACCTTCTTTACACTATATACTGAAGGGTAGTAGAAAAGCAATGACATGAAATGCCACATGTTTCACATCAGTCTGAATAGGAAGTTTGGGGGACAAATATTTACTTATACAGACTTTCATTGAAACACACTTTTATTAACTTAACTGGTTTCGAGGTACACAACATGCTTTGAGCATACTGTGCAATACCTCTTTCCAGACTGAATCATAGGTTTATTTGAAAATTATGAATGAGGGATATTCTGTCTCATGGTATTCCCACTTTCATTCCAGCACCTGACAAATGAAGAATCTGCGGTCAATAATTGATTCACAATAACAGACTTCATAGTGACAATTGCCAATTATTTTGTCTATGCAGAGAGTTCAACTTTAGAGTACAGTGTTATATACAACTTCACATATATCTGAGAAAAGAGATATTTCTTGATAAATCTTTTACTCATTTTTTCACTCTGTGTATGCATTGGTCCAATAATACCAGATTCTGTCCATTGCTGAGACAATTCAGTTTTATTTCAGTAGTATCAATAGTTTATTATATTTAAGCATCCTGTTGCACTCTACACGATAAATGATACAAACTCTGTCCTAAGTGCAAACACTATATATTATATGTCTTTGATCTTGTTCTTTCTACACTACATGTTTCGGCCTCTATCGGCCATCATCAGGTGTATACTCTTAACGTTGCTGCCACACTGAACCCAGTCTAAAATTTAACATTTAAAACACAATGTCACATTCTTCGTATTATCAACACCTACATCGTTGATATGTGTCTGGTATGTAGATTATGTTGCACACGTCAAATTTGATATTCTTGTAGTAGCACTACATTAAATTTAAAATTTAGAGAAAATTTTAAAAGGTTTTAAAAACATCATAACTAAAGATTTTTAGAGTATCAAATATCAAATTTGACGTGTGCAACATAATCTACATACCAGACACATATCAACGATGTAGATGTTGATAATACGAAGAATGTGACATTGTGTTTTAAATGTTAAATTTTAGACTGGGTTCAGTGTGGCAGCAACGTTAAGAGTATACACCTGATGATGGCCGATAGAGGCCGAAACATGTAGTGTAGAAAGAACAAGATCAAAGACATATAATATATAGTGTTTGCACTTAGGACAGAGTTTGTATCATTTATAGTATCAATAGGCTTTGATGCAAGTAAAGAGGTTGGTCTCGAAGTAAACACAGAGGAAACTAAGTATATGTTACTGTCTCATCAAAATGCAGGGCAAAATCATGACATAAAGATAGGGACAAGATGTTTTGAAAATGTGGCACAGTTCAGATATTTGGCAACAACGATAACAGATTGAAACCTGATTCAGGAGGAAATTAAGAGGAGATTGACCTTGGGTAATGCTTGCTACCTTTCAGTCCAGAAACTTTTGTATTCTCGTCTGTTGTCCAAAAACATAAAAATTAGAATATACAGAACTATAATTTTGCCTGTGGTTCTGTATGGCTGTGAAACTTGGTCTCTGACATTAAGGGAGGAACACAGACTGAGGGTGTTTGAGAACAGGGTGTTGAGGAGAATATTTGGACCGAAGAGACAAAGTGACAGGAGGTTGGAGAAAACTGCATAATGAGAAGCTTCATAACTTGTACTCTTCTCCAAGTATAATTGGAATGATCAAGTCAAGGAGGATGAGGTGGGCAGGTCATGTAGCACGAATGGAGGCGACAAGGAATGCATATAGGGTATTGGTGGGAAAGCCAGAAGGAAAGAGACCACAGAGAAGACCAAGGAGTAGGTGGGTGGACAATATTAAAATGTATCTTAGAGAGATAGGATGGGATGGTATGGATTGGATTGGATAGATCTGGCTCAGGATAGGGACCAGTGGAGGGCTCTTGTGAACACAGTAATGAACCTTTGGGTTCCATAACATGCTGGGAAATTCTTGTGTAGCTGCAGAATTGGCGGCTTCTCCAGTAGGGCTCATCTCCATGAGTGAGTAAGTAAGTAAGTATCAATAGGCTTATGGATTCAAAAATATATTTTACTTCTGGTTTGAATCAATTCTACATCAAGATATATCAGAAAATGTTGTAGTGTTAGATGTGCATTTTTACTTCTATTTGTACAAGGTATGTTAGATTTTACACATTTCATACCATCCTGTATGGAACACAACAAGGAAAACTTTTAAAATTCATTCGATATAAATGAAATTAAAGTATTCCCAGCAATAAACATACTAATGGAGATAAAATGAGCACACATTTACCCCAATTGTTTGGTTTTCTCATAAACAATTGAGAGCCATACATACCATCACTAATACACTCAGCAGGTTCAGTTATTTGTCACACATTCATCTAAATAATTAAAATTAGTGTCGCAAAGCAATCAATTCGTCTGCAACAGATTATATAAGATCAGGCTACTTATAACTATATGAGGAAATAAATGAAAGAAAATTATGCTCTAACAAGAGCTCAAGCAACTGATTAACGCATGGTCATGTTCAAGACAAAGATAAATTAGAACAATAAATTTCCAGAATACTGTTATTAAAAGAAGATGCAAGATATGGTTTAGGGCAGACAAATATGGCTGTCAAAGTTGTGGCCTTCTGGGTAGTGACACCATGTAATCTGATAGATGGATACCAATATTTTAGAGGAATATACTGCCTCCATCTTCACCATGAAGTGTGTTGGGTGAGGAACCAGATGGTGTATGGGAAGGTTAGCCACTTAGATCGACAGGAGGGGCTGAGGAAACAGTATCAAATCTAGGCTAACAGGAATGGTAGACAGGGTGCTAACTTTTACCATTGGTCCAGAAACTAAAATTAGCTAGATTCTTGGGAAACAGTTTAAACAAATTCAAAGGGCATATAGGCTTTGAAGCCAATGAGACAGAGCTCAGTATTGGTCCACCTGATCTGAAAGTATGGTCCATTTGAAGTGATAAGACAAGGGTACATTAATATCATTAGCTTACATTTACTTCTAAACCGATGTTTACCAAGAGAACAGAAAGGGAGTGTCATCACACAACTGTCATGCCCCTACATTGTGAAGGCTTATATTGTTTTTTTGACAAGGGTGATACATATACCACTAATATAAAATAAAGAAACATAATTACAGGAACTATCTTGGTCTTTGTAGATGATGTAGTTACTAATCAATATGGACTGCATGCTTTAGACCCTGCAAGGCAAAATTTTAGACTGAAACATCTGACTTGGTTGTCTTTTGGTAATGTGCCATTGGACCCTAGGTCTGGAAGTTGAAACCCAGGTCACAGATCAAAGGATTTTTAAGGGCGATAAAATCTTATAGCAGAACTTCCTTTGGAAGAGAAGTACAGCCGGGTGTCACATGTATATTTATGTCATGATAAGAGATGAGTGATGGCAAAATTACATGCCATTTTCCAGTCGCCCTCAAAGATCCCCACTCTGCTGCTAGATGCCATACCCTGGTCACACAACTGCAGAGATCTCTGACAGACAAGAGAGGGAACAACTTGAAATCGCTCAATCCAACTGAAGGATAACTGGATAATGTAAAGTGTCAAAGTGGCGTCTAAATGGAAAAAACAACTTAACTGTCAAAGTGCAACATCAGAAACCAAGCAATGAACCAATCAGCCAACTTTTTAAACGGTTTCACTGGATTAGTTGGAAATAAATATTTCCATGATTCATGGACAGCCCAGCAAAACACTTAAAACATAAGTTATAAAAGAGAATAGGAATTTCATTGTTCATCCACAGGATATGCATACTGCAACAAAGAAACCTGATGGAAGTTCAGTGCATGCAAAGTGGGATCACGATTATCAGCTGACAGGTATTATTTCATATTTTTCTATGAGAGCTAACACAATGCAGAATCAATAATTTGTTCTGTTTTGCAACTTTCTATACTCATGTACAATAGGGATTAGAAGTGTTGGCTGTCCATGATCCTGTGTTAGACTGTAACACAATCTGAGTTATCACATTTATGAGTTTGCTATTTATTGCTATCAATTACCTGAGAATGAAGTCCATTAGAGGGAGGGTGTGGTGGCAATTCTAGCCCTGCTGGTACATATGTTGTACCAGGAATGCATTTTGAACATTGTCTCTTGAGTGCTGGGCGCTGTCGTGAACCACGGCATTTCAGAGCAAAACACAGTTCCTCTGTCATCTCAGCACACAACGATTGATGCGGTACTGGGATTGCTCTCTGTAAAGAAGACTTCATTGAATGACAGTGGGTCTTCCTTGAGCAGTTTATAGTTAGATTCTAAATGGTTCTGCATTCTTGTTCATGGATTTGGTTTGTTGACTTGATTTGTTGCATACAATATCTGTTTCTTTTCCTACCTCAGTTTCAGGTCTGTACATATTTCATCACAATTTTTAATGCATATTTTCATGTTACCTCCCATTAACAAACCCTTATCTCAGGCATTTATATAGCTATATTTATAACGACATAAGTTGTCCAGTGACTGAGGTTAGCTCTTTCTAATGAACCCAACAAAGTGTAGGTGTATCACACTCCCCCACCTGAGGATAGAAACAGATCCAGTTTACAAAAAACTTGTATTTCTTTAGAATACACGAGAGTGGACATAGTCCAAAAACCAAGTAATTTATAGTTATTAAGGTCAAGCTATTCTGTGTTAATAAAAACCCCAAGGGCTTATCATGTGTTCACAAATTCCTTCTATTATACCTGCCATGGCTGAAAGTCAGAATATCCCCAAAATTTTCAGAGAATAGCTACCGACTCCAATTTTAATAAATCTGCCCAACAATTTAGGTGCTGATAATAGGATACAAGCAGATGGGCTAGCTCACTTGACCACCATATACCACTATACAAAAAAGGTGACAAATCTAGTACGTCAAACTATAGACCAATCTCACTATTAACTGCTTTTTCTAAAGTACTTGGGAAAGTTATGTACAATAGATTAAGCTGTGTGAACATCCCATATATCATGCTACTTCTATAGTGCTCACTTTTTCACCATCACGCGCGCTAACCAATCAAATTGGTTCCAACGTCCACAATTATACAGCACTTGCTGCGAGCCTGCATCCACATCATTACATGCGCTAGCCAATTAGCGCCCTGCAAATTGTTGCTCCTCAAATGCAAGTTTCGCTCCGCCCACCGAGCATTGTATAAAAAGGAGCAGCTCCAACCCAGCAGTATCAGCAGTCTTCAAGCGGTCTACAAGCAATCAGCAACTTTGTCGCCAGCGCTCGGTCTTCAGAGGCATCGGCACTTCACTGTGCCAGGCACGACTGCCTCAGCTGTCCAGCGGTCACACCTGACTCACTGGGCAACTCGACTGCCTCAGTTTGCCGGTGGTCATCCCTGACACACTGGGCAACTGGCGTAGCTACCGCCTCTCCACTCTTGCAAAGCAAACCTTTACCAGCAACCAAGCAACCTCCAGCAACGGCTGCACTGCGGCCAGTCAACTGATTCAGCCGCCTCGACACACCGCAACAAACATCCCTTCCTACCGGTGCGCGCCACGCTACTTCACTGGCCAAGCATCTCAGCAACCAATGGTCCTTTTCAGGACCTACAAACTTTTCCGAAGAAGTGGATTGTCATTGAAGTAATGACAAGACAAAAACCCCACAAAGCCATTATTTGCAAACTAATAATATACTGGTCCCAGAAAAATTCAACTTCAGGAAGGCAATATCCACTGAAAACGCAGCCTTTATGCTAACAGACAGTGTATTAAAATCTATTAACCAGAAAATGCTTGTAGGTGGAATATTCTGTGATTTAGCTAAAGCTTTTGATTGTGTTAATCATGAAATTTTGTTGACAAAATTACAATTTTATGGTATTCAGGGAACAATGGCAGGTTGGTTCAGATACTACCTTGTAGCTAAAAAACAAAAGATTCAAATAAAATTATCAAATGCAACCCAAAGTACTTATTCAAAATGGGGAACAATAGAGCATAGAGTTCCTCAGGGGTCAATTTTAGAACCTTTGCTTTTTCAATCTATATAAATGACTATGAAGAAAGCAGTCTTCTGGGATTTGGCACCGTGTATATGTGGTGTTAACCGACGTTTCGGAGGAACGTATCGCCTCCATCTTCAGGGTAGAAGAGAAAGTATAAGAAATCTGCAAGCGACAAGACTGTGAGACTGCTTTTACCGTTCTCACGGTCTTGTCGCTTGCAGATTTCTTATACTTTCTCTTCTACCCTGAAGATGGAGGCGATACGTTCCTCCGAAACGTCGGTTAACACCACATATACACGGTGCCAAATCCCAGAAGACTGCTTTCTTCATAGTCACCGCCGTGAAAGCCTCAAATCTTACATATATAAATGACCTTCCCCCAACAATAAAGACCCACTCAATATCCATAATATTTGCTGATGACACTAGCATAATAATTTCTGGTAAGAATTTAGATGATTTCTGTATGTCATTGAACAGTGTTCTCTCTTATATGAGTAAATGGTTTGCTGCTAACAAACTGGCCCTGAATCTAGATAAAACAAATATAATAAAATTTATAACAAATAATACACCTCAATATCCATTAAGAATTGGATATAATAATAAATATATAGAAGAGTCAGTACACACAAAATTCCTTGGCTTACAAATTGATATCCACTTAAACTGGAAATACCATATTGATCAGTTGGTTCCGAAGTTAAGTGGAGCATGTTATGCAGTAAGAGCTTTGTTACATGTCAGCAACACTGATATACTGCAATCAGTTTATTTTTCCTACTTTCACTCTATAATGATATATGGAATAATATTTTGGGGTAACTCATCTGACAGCAAAATGGTATTTACATTACAAAAGAAAATCGTTAAAATCATGGTGGGCACAAAAGCTCAAAATTCTTGTAGAGAGCTATTTAAGAGATTACAGATCTTACCTCTTCCATCTGAATATATATTTTCATTATTAAGCTTCATTATAAACAACTAAGAACATTTTCAGACCAATTCGGATGTACACAGTGTGAACACGAGAAACAAGCACCATCTCCATAGACTGGTTGCTAACCTGACATGTTTTCGAAAAAGCGCATATTATTCTGGCATAAAAATTTCAACAATCTATCATATAGTCTAAAAAGTCTAATGAATGAAAAGGCGCAACTTAAATTAGCACTGAAACAATACTTAAGTACACTCATTCTACTCTGTTGATGAATACCTCCCATCTAAAAATGACTCATCCTTTTAAAAGGTTATGTACATAGCATAAGTTGACAGTATTGACTTATATATGTGGAATTCTTTTCTCTGTTGTACTGTATTTATGGCTTTTGTATTTGTATGACTTGTTCCACATCCTACAGCCATTATGACTTACTTTGGCTCTGCAGAATGTTTGTATGTATGTATGTATGTATGTATGTGTGTATAAATAGTTAGACTAATACAGTGCAACCTGGGTAACCCAGCCTAATTAAAGCACTGCTGTCTTTGAAGTATGAAATCGTTTGTGTTAATGCATGTCAAACAAAGAATTCATATCTTTCAATAAAAGTACTTATTCAAAAGATTTACAGGTACATTTTATACATAAACAACTACAAATCTGTCTCGAACAAAAGGGCATTTGACTATATGCCAGACTTGGAGCAGGCAGTAACCTAGTTACAATTTTCACCGCCTACAGAGGCAGGTTCATTAACATATAGTAATATTTCACAGGAATTCATTTTTACTGCCAAGCAAGTAAAACAGTTAAATTAAATTTTGAATTTTTGGAGATTCTGATTCTCTTTTGGTGGTGTTGTAAGCCAGTTCACATTACTGAGAGTTCAAATTAATATTGTTCAGATGTCTGAGGTTCCGCCATATTGGTTAACATACAGACAACTAACATATTTTTCTTGACTGGCGCCGAAAATTTAGAATATCTTCTACACCCAGAAGTATGTGAAAGTTCGGGCAACCGGTACACACCAACTCAGCCTGGGTGTTGCGCTTGGAATTGTAGCAGAATTCAAAGATGGCAACAATGACTGCTACAGCCAAACCACAGAGTAACACAACAAACACTCCACCAATGTTGTCTACTCCCAAGGCATTTGCTTTGCTCTCTTTGCCTTTTTCATTGCGTGTGCAAGTATCACCAGGATTTTTCCACCATTTGTCATACAGCATCTGAATCTCTCCTCGTTCTTGTAGCTCCAATATTGCCAGTGAGATCTTGTCTCGCCACGGTGAACCTAAAAGAGATGTCAGTCCCTAAATTAATAGGAACTATTACCTTGCAGCTAACCCTATGGATCAAGGCTTGCATGACCACACAGGTGAACTAAAGCAGCCATATGGTGCAGTGTAATTTACAAACTTGTGTTTTATCAACAAATATTCAATTTTGCTAATCATGTATCTGTTTGTATCACGGCATTATTATAAGTAATCTAAACACATTAGCTAACAATGTAAATAAAATTGTTTTGAGAATTATGACACTAATGACATTTTTTCACAGTGTCTGGAAATTTATGTTATTACAAGAAATAAAGTGTTGAGAAATTTGATTTGTTTCAACTAAGGGAGTTGCAAGATTATGGTATTTAGGCTTCTGCAGGCCTTGGTAAGACCATATTGTGACATGTAGATGCGTTACTAACTAATGACCATGATACAAGCAACTATGCAATAGCCATTGCTAAATAATGGCTCCCCAAATAAGCATGTGCCCAAGGCAACGAAAGAATACAGAAATAATGGAAGAGAAGGTTTTTACACGGTCCGTGCCGAGATGTTACAACCATGACCAGTTAACAGTTGCAGTTAGTTCAAGGGGCTGCAGCAGGATTTCTGCAAGTATTTTGGTTTCCCCTGCCATTTCGCATTCCACTGATTGCTCCACAATCATCATCATCATCATCTGGGGTTGGTACAATAGAGCAATAGTGGCCTCAGTACTAAGTGGACTCAGTTTCACCCCATGAGAGAAGAAAAGTAGTTCTTGGGGCTTGACCTACTCTAACTCTAACTCTGAGTTGTAGTTGGCTTGGCGCCAAGATGAACTGAATGGCGGTAAATCGCCGGTCGTAAAGTAAATCTGACTCTGAGTTGCAGTTAATTAGAGAATTGCTGGGGTTCAGCCATTGTGAGCTGTTGCTGTTAGAAGCTAGTAGCTGAGGCTGGAGACATTTCGGGAAACAAGTGAAAGGGGAAAGTCCACCATTAGAAGCCACTAGCAAGCAACAACAGTCAGTGGGGGGGTTGTGTGTGTGTGTGTGTGTGTGTGTGTGGTGTGTGTGTGTGTGTAATAGCAAGCTGCATAGTGTAGTCATGCACTGTATCAAATTGTGCCACAAATTGAGTCATCAATCGAAAACCCGTCTATAGTCAGTCTATCATGTGACAATATATCCACTTGACATCATCATACATAGAGTCAAAATTCTGGTTGCTCACTCAACTGGGACAAGTTAATTTTGTAAGCTGGTGAGCAACAATTTAGAGTTCACATAAATTAACAAACTTTATGTGTATTGTAGGATGTGAGGTTCTTACAGTGATGGTTATGAAGACTTTTAGCTACTGGGATATAATGCCATATAGTTGGGTGAAATTCAACAGACATATTGGAGGAACCACGACCTATATCTTCAGGGTCAAAGAGTAAGTCAAGGAAGGAACAAGCGTGATGGAGGTAGAAAAAAGAGTTCTGCTTGGAAGAATGTGTTGTGGCCTATTTGAAGGTACTATCCTGGAATTCACTTGGAGGGACTAAGATAAAAAATGACAGATCTCAGTCTGAATTATTGGTGGCCTGGCCACAATTCATATTTAGCACATACCACATACAAGACAGAAGCGTTATTACCTGTGCAAACTTACTTGGTGGGACCTAGTTCTATTCAGTGACTAAATCCTTAAGGGTGAAGTGGGTGGTTCATGAAACATGCACTCAGGAAATAATTACTGCCTACAAAATTTTGGTCACAAAGTCCAAAAAATAGAGACCACATAGGGAGATAATAATAAACGTATCTTAAATAAGCTGAGTGTGAAGTGATGGACTGAATTTGAACAGCTCATGATAGGGTCAAATGGCAAGGCTTTATGAACGTGAAAATAACTCTTAGATTCCATAATGAAACATGGAATTCCTTGACCAAGCCAGTAACCATCATATTTCAAGGAACATTCTGTATGGAGACTGAAGTGATGTTTAATTAATCTTGAGCACAAGACATATTTTGAGTCTCTTCAGGCATCTTTAGGCTTCTTCCACCACATGGTCTACAAAGTATGGTGTAGTTCCCTCACTTTATGACTCACCCATGGGCGTTGCAATGCCATAACCTTTCGAATCCAGAAGTCCACCAATCTGTGTGAGATTGCAGTCTCTCTGTACAATGTAATCCAACATTGTTGATTCCATAAGGAATGCATAGTTGCCTTCCAGAACCCTCTGGATTCCTTCCTCATAAGTGGGGACAAACACAGATGGCTTTTTATTCTCCATGAATCTCCACATTTTCTTGTATGTCTCAATCATTGAATCCTGTAAATACCAATACACATGTTAAGAGAAGTTAGATTTGTTTCTTTTTCTGTTTCCTAAGACAGCTCAGAAAAAAAAAGACTAAGACTCCCAGACTGCAAATTTCAACAGTGACAGTGGATAGTGGGATAATATTTCTGTCCTCAAACATTATCACTAGGGCCCGGATTTCTATGGCATGTCATATTTTTTTCCTAGGGTTTNCTATTTGAGATCTGACCACTCTTCAAAAGTTCTGTTGCAGTAACCAGACAATATTTACAATTTCTGCACCAACAACAGGCAACTGCTATGAACCGGCAACTATTCACAATTTGTTTAAAATTTCTCTACTTGTAAGTACTTATTACCAAAATCTGGCCATTATTTATGATCTCCATGATAGTTTCCAAGCATTAATTATAATTTCTGTGCCAACACCAACCGCTGTTTATGATTTCTATGCTCATGTCTAGTTACTACTGCGTTGTGAACACTATTACAAATTTCTGTGATAGTATGCAATAAATGTTCACAATTTGTTTGCAAGTATTGAATTGAATTGAATTGAATTTATTTACATTCCGTAAATCCAGTACAGGCGAGACACCATAGGATATGGAACAAGTCAAGTTAGAATACATAGTATCTATACAATAATACAGTAATATTGCAATTAAATGAAGTAAAAACTTATAATATTTATAATACACCTTAAACAATGATCAAGAAATTTATCAAGATTTTTCATGGACTAAAATAAAATTTCCATTAAGACTTTCATTCATTACTCATTCCATTAATCAAGTGCGTCAAATTAAATGCATATAGAAGAGACAGTTATCATACAAAATTCACTTATTAAAACAATCAAAAACAATAGATTAATCATATAATATAAAATAAAAATAATAAAAATAGTTGACAACTTCAGGTGCAACTTAGTCAATAACAGAAATCAAAAGCACGCAAGCCAACATGCTACAATGCATAGTCATACACATACCGTGCATATTTCACCAAAATATAATTCATGATCACATATGCAAAACTTCACAGTAATAATAAAATGGTTAACAGACACTTATTCAAACATGTTCTTCAAACTATCATACAAGATGTAATACCCATCAAGACAAATAAAACAGGATAATTACGTAATTTGTAGTTTATGACATATTTCTATATCAG